TGTGTGTGTGTGTGTGTGTGTGTGTGTGTGTGTGTAATGATGTGAGCGTGTCTGAATGCATCCTGCTGAAGATGTGCAGAGCTGTGCACAAGTGAAGAGTCAGACTCAGAGGATGTCTGCAGCCTGCAGGCGGACGGGATGCAGATGTTTCTCACCAGCATGGGGGAAAGCTGCTTAGACCATCAGAAAAGAGAAGGTGCCGCCGCCGCTGCTGCCGCACCGGACTCTGACTCTGTCTCCGTTTTTTTCTCCGGCACCGAGCTCTAGCATCCGAGTCTGAAAAGAGGGAGGTCACTTTCTGGGGACGCAGCCCTGCGTTGCCTCCAAAAAAAGACGAGATGCTCTGAAAACATCCTTTTGCTCTCTGTCTCCTCTTCCCTCCTCCTTCCTCGGCCTGCTCCCCCCGCAGAGTCCCAGCTCCACCATGTCCTTGGCTTTCTGTGGGAGCGAGAACAACTCGTCGGCCTACAACGTGGACGGGGGCGTTCTGAACAACGGCTGCTTCCTGGATGCGCTCAACGTGGTCCCGCACGTCTTTCTCCTCTTCATCACCTTCCCCATCCTCTTCATTGGTGAGTCTAACCGGGAGGTGAGATCCTCAGCATCTTCACACCTCACCACACACGCGATTTGTCAGCACAAATACGATCGATGGACTCTGCCTCTCTTTTAGTTTATTTACATTTCTGTKCTAAATCTGTGTTCTTAATTTCTTATTTATAAGCATCATTGACTGTTTCTTTGAGTGTACAGCAAGAGCCTACATTTACAGTAGCTGTTGTGTAACAGAGGGCAGCTGGAGAGCATTTCTTTACTTCTAATTGAACACATTTCACATCTGGTCTAAAATGCTGAGTCATATTAAGAGATAAGAGGTTTAAGTTGTTCCAGAGGCACAACTGTCCCACAGGATGAACAGTGTTTCTGTGACTCACGCGACTCTTAAGTGTGAATAATGTTCTGCAGCAGCTTACAAACTCATCAGACAGTTTTTTTTTTACTGAGAGATGAAGCACAAGCAGGAGATAAAGTCCAGTTGCTTTTTTTTAAATTTAACCGTGACCTTGCTGAAACACAATCTGCACTGACACGCTGATATAWAAATCCGTGACGATCTGCAGCGTGGCTCATGGAAGCAAAATGATGCAAGAGCATCGTGTTACTCTTCCTTGGCTCACCTTTCTGGCCGCTGGCTTCTCTATTAGTGTCATCACCAGAGTGTAGCTTTACACAAACCTAGCTGCCAGGGGCTCACAGGTTGTGTGTGTGTGTGTGTTAGCATAATATTTCATGAACCACTGGGTGGATTTCAATGGGTCTCTGATTAAAAGGCTGCCACAGCTAATCGACTTTAATGAACACAAAAATGCTGAGCTAATACTGAGTCATCCACTTCACATACAAGCAGGAAATTACAACACAATTTGCAAGATCTCACAAAATAGCATTTTTTTTTTCAAACTTTGGCCAAAACAATCCTAAAGTTATCTTAGTTTRAAATTCTGTCATGAAAGATGGCAGGCAATTTAATTGATTTCGATGTTTTTAAAGTATTTGAAGTCRGGTTGGGCAAAATTGTACCGTGTGAAATTAATTGACAGAAAAAACAGTAACAAATTAATATTTGCCACCTTGCAATTGGTGATTTTTGTGTCACTATCAAGCGTGCATGAGAGGCCGTGGACAGCTTATTATTTTAACCTGTTAAAATGAAGATGTTAGTTTGACTGTATAACTTTAGAACACATGGTGACTGATTTAGAGTCATCTATTGATTGTCATATTAATCGTTACTGGCTAAATGCTACAGTTAATAATACATTTTTGTTTTAATATCATACAGCTTTTATTTGGAGTAACTTAGTGAAGGAGTGAGATGGACTTGCGACCTGYCCAGGGTGTACCCCGCCCCTCGCWCAGTGACCCCCGTGACCYTGAAAAGAAGAAGCGGGTATAGATAATGGATGGATGATTTTATTAGCTTTGTTAGCTTTCATTTTCTTCTGCAAAAATACACAACTGTGCAAATATTTCCTCTTAAAACCTCCCTTATTGTTCATGTTTTTTCTACAGTCTTAATACAACACATGACTTTATCAACAGCCTGTCACAAAGACAGTTTGTTCTCATTCTTGGCTAAATTTAGATAATTGTATTTTAGCACAAACACTGTGATCTCCAGCAGGAGGCTGTCAGATCCGACAGGTTCCGACTGGATTGTTTTTAATCATTATTTATTGAAGACATGACTTTCAGGCTCTGTTCATCTGCTGTGGACTGTTTGTTTTTCATACCTGACCTCTCTGTGTTCCACTTGTCCACTTTTCTGTTTCATTCAACGACATGTTGCACGTCATGCTATCATGGTTAGCTACATAGACTGGAGTGAAAATGAGTGTCAAAGAAAACACATCCTGAAGCCGGGGAAAAAAAACAACTAACTGTGTTCTGTTAACCAGTCTGAGTACCAGTTTCTGTCCTGTGGTTACATAGGAAGCGAGTTATTTCCTCCAAGARTAACAAGAGCAACAAAAAGCTTCCTGTGGTCCAGAAATAGGTTGGATATAATCRTTTTAATGTTCCAAGCATTCATCAGGATAAAAGCGAGCCAGTCAGGAGAGTGATGTCACTGTCTAGGATCTTTATTTAGAATAAAATTAAATAAATGTGRTGTCTCTCTTTAATGTGCCTGTTTCATTTTAGATACAGTGGGTAAAATAAGTATTGAACACGTCACCATTTTTCTCAGTAAATATATTACTAGAGGTGCTAATGACATGAAATTTTCACCAGATGTCGGTAACAACCCAAGGTCCAGAAATTAAGTTATTTGTAATAATGTGGAATGGTACAGGGAAAAAGTATTGAACACGCTTACTGAAATTTATCTAATACTTTGTACAAAAGCCTTTGTTGTCAATGACAGCTTCAAGAYGCCTCCTGTATGGAGAAACTAGTGGCATGCATTGCTCAGGTGTGATTTTGGCCCATTCTTCCACACAAACAGTCTTCAAATCTTGAAGGTTTCGTGGACCTCTTCTATGAACTCTGATCTTTAGTTCTTTCCATAGATTTTCTGTTGGATTCAGGTCAGGTGATTGGCTGGGCCATTCCAGCAGCTTTAGTTTCTTTCTCTGAAACCAACTGAGAGTTTCCTTGACTTTGTGTTTGGGCTCATTGTCTTGCTGAAATGTCCAGCCACGTTTCATCTTCATCATCCTGGTAGATGGAAGCAGATTTTTATCAAGAATGTCTCTGTACATTTTTCCATTCATCCTTCCTTCAATTATTTGAAGTTTGCCAGTACCATATGCTGAAAAACAGCCCCACACCATGATGTTCCCACCTCCAAACTTCACTGTTGGTATGGTGTTTTTGGGCTGATGTGCAGTGCCATTTGACCTCCAAACATGATGTGTATTCTGGCATCCAAACAGTTCAATGTTGGTCTCATCTGACCAGACTATATTCTCCCAGTATTWCACAGGCTTGTTTAAATGTTGTGCAGCAAACTTTAAAGGAGCTTCAACATGCTGTTTCTTCAGCAGTGGAGTCTTGCGTGGTGAGCGTGCATACAGGCCATGGTGGTTCAGTGCATTACTTATTGTTTTCTTTGAAACAAACGTACCTGCTAATTCCAGGTCTKTCTGAAGCTCTCCACAAGTGGTCCTTGGCTCTTGGACAACTCTTCTGATAATTCTTTTCACTCCTCTGTCAGAAATCTTGTGAGGAGCACCTGGTCGTGGTCGGTTTATGGTGAAATAATGTTCTTTCCACTTCTGAATTATGGCCCCAACAGTGCTCACTGGAACCTTCAGAAGTTTAGACATTCTTCTGTAACCGATGCCATCATTATGCTTTGCAACAATAAGGTTGTGAAGGTCTTGAGAGAGCTCTTTACTTTTACCCATCATCAGATGGTTCTTGTGTGATACCTGGCCATCATCTGGAACTGAACCAGCAGATGTTAACTTGCACTGACAAGGGGCAGGCTTGCTTTCTAATTACTGAGAGAGTTCAGCTGGTGTCTTGGCTTTCCATGCCTTTTTACACCTCCCTTTCTTCATGTGTTCAATACTTTTTCCCTGTGCCATTCCACATTATTACAAATAACTTCATTTCTGGACATTTATGGTTTGATTTCTTTGTATGTATGGATCACTTGGGTTGTTACCGACATCTGGTGAAAATTTCATGTCATTAGCACCTCTAGTAATATATTTACTGAGAAAAATGTTGACGTGTTCAATACTTATTTTACCTGCTGTAAGTGAGGATGATTCTCAGCTAAACTCAGAATAAAGTTTTAGTCATTTTTGTGGTTTGTTATTTTGAACTGTGGTGACTCCAAAAATTAATTAGTTGAAGACCTACTGTACATCCTAAGAGTTGTTCAGTGGTTTATGACACACATGGGTATGGGAAAAAATGTACTGTCTAAAAAAAAACTAATTTCAAGTTGAAACAAATGAAAGCTTAAAGGGTTAGAGTGAAACTTTTCAGTGTGAATCTGTTAGAAAGCTGTMTGTGTGTAAGCTGCAGGGGTTCTTCCCTCGTCCCACCTCTCCTGAACTGGTGGGCTTTTCTATAACAGCTTCAGCACTAAAAGACAAACCTCAGGAGGTGTGAAATATTTTCTGCTCACCTGACAGAACCTTTCAAATCAAAGTCCTAGTTAAAGACAGCAAGATGCACTCTGTTGTGCCCCGGAGCTAAATGAGATGTGCTGCTCAGCCATCTTCTTGAATTTACAGAGTCACATAAACGCTGCGAGCATGAGAGGATACTGTTCAAATAAAGACCGAATAAACGGTTTGAATGCAGCAGCACCCCTTTGTAAGACTATGACAGCAGGACTGGCTGACAGACCCTGTCAAATCACAATCCATTAACATTAAACCATTTTATTTAATGTAAATCTGTTTTTAGTTGTGTTGATTTTTTAAATGTATGCATGATTTGTTTCTGTTTGGCTTCATGATTTGAAGTTGATTTGAATTGCATTGAACAGTGCTTGAGCAGAATGAATGCATTTGCATGTGTTWAAAAAAAAGAGAGCTGAAGAGGAAGAGATGCACTTCAGACCGGTCTGTGCCAACACTCCAGAGTGAGAGAAACCATAAAGGTGCCAAAAGCACAAGAGTTGCTTACACAACCTCATCGAAGGAGATTAGTTTTGACTGCAGAGGCTAGATTTAATGGTATAAATTACACTTTGATGACTCTGTTAATGTTATAACTTTGTGTGTATTGAGGCCAACATCTGTTTTAATAAAAAAAGATGAGGGACAAAGTGGCTGCATTCCTTAGGAGAGCTGAAAAACACGCCGTCTCAGGCTCAGACTGGCAGCGGCACTTTCCTTGCTTCGCCTGCCAAACATCCTTTGATGTGATTAAAGTGACGATAAAACAAGCTGGACTCTGAAACCCACTTTGGTGTGCTGCCATTTTTGTAGTTTATCTTCCGCACATGAAAACAGAAAATCAATTTCAAGTGGACTCACAAGGTTAGTGYTCAAAATGTGGACTCCATGACTTCAGACACGAGGAAAAAAAAGGCTTTTTTTTAGTCCTTTAAATTGTTCGGCTCATTCAGGAGATGGGACTTCTGTTTTTGTCATTTTTATACTTTTCAAAATGTTTAACTTAAAATGTTTAACTCATTAACTATTTCATCTCTTCAGTTCCGTTTAAAATAATTTTTCTTTGAAAACTGCTCCGTACAAAAGTGTTTTCTTGCTTCTAGCTTTCAGCTACAAATCAGCTACTTTCAGCTAAATTTGGTAGAGTTTAGCTAACCAGAATGTTTGCTACTTTTATTTATCTAATCTTTTGGTGCATTTTGCTATATTTACCCTTTTAGCTGACCGTTTGCTTTTGGCTTCTACTGTTTTGCTACTTTTGGTTTCAGCTACAATTCAGCTACTTTCGGCTAACATTTTTGTTGCTTT